TTGGGAGTTTTTCACGTAACTTTTATTCGGTAGGTATTCTTTTGATAAAATTGTTAGACCAAACAGAAATGCTTGAAAACTTAACAGAAGGTTCATTTTATGTTATGATTAGTGGCTAACAAGAAAATGTTGAATTTAATGTAGTATTTTTTTTTTATAAGAATTTGAATATCAAATTTTGATGAAAATCGGTAATATTTACGATAACCTTTATGACCTTTCAAACCATGTAGAACCGAACTCTACTCAAAATATTTTTTGTTGTTCAATCGTTGCGCACAGATACACATTAAATTCCCATTTTTATCTTACCCTCCCAACTTCTCACCTACAACATTAGCCCACCCATCTTGTGATGCATGTCCGTCTTTTTCAATATAAATATAAAATATGGTCATTGTTTTTCGTTTGATTAGCAATAGTTAATATTTTTTATCTTCTAAATTTATACTAAATTATATTATTCTTTTACTATAAAAATATATAATCTCGGATATTATAACCAAAAATAATTAAATAATAACAATACTATTGTGTACATGTTTTACTGTATATAGCCTACGTGCAGCTTAACTGTAGCCGCTGTTGTAGGTTTAGAAATTTATTAGGTACTAATAATTATTTATTGTGTAACTAACGGTTATAGTTATAGTTATAATTAAATATTTTTGTGCATTTATTAATGCAATCACTCAGTACACGCTATGGTAGTCTAGGAATGGACTAATTCGCGTTATTTGTAATGCACCTTGTATTAATTGTAAAATGTACAATGTTTTATAGTAAACCACTAATGCTAGGGTGTATACCCACCTATTAAATTAGGTTTGGTGACTACCACACCTAACATATATGTTCGGCGCCACTGTGTGTAGGAGATTACACCATCTATTTATGGCAAGTAAAAAGGGACTAAGTAAGAGTTTACAATATGTTTTAAATACAGGTAAATAGGTCATTTTTTTAGGAGTTTACATATAGCCGTTGAGTGTACTATTTACCATTCGCGGTTGCGGTCACGGCGCACGCTTAGGATATAGGTTAAAAAAAATCGATTTAGGTAGACAATGTTGGTACGACATTCATGCGTAACCACTGTTTAGAATGTTAACGATTAAAATAAAAAAATCAATGTTTTTTTTTGTTTGACCCCTCCTGCTATTGGGTGTAATATTTACCATGCGCAGCTACGGCCGCGGCGCACGCGTAGAATATTAATGATTAAAATAAAAATCTATGTTTTTTTTTGTTTGACCCCTCCTGCTATTGGGTGTAATATTTACCATGCGCAGCTTCGGCCGCGGCGCATTCGTAGAATATGGGTAATAAAAATCGATATAGGTGGCTTAGAGAACAGTACCTACTCACCACCGCAACAGGAGTTCAATGTTTCTTCTACTGCCAAACGACTTTGTCATATGAACGCGGTTGATGATTTCTGTTAGTTACCAAGATTATTGGCAATTATCACGGTTTCAATAATCGGTGCGCATTCACAGTCAGGTGAAGATACCTTCACGGCGTTGTGTTAAGATATAATAATTTAAGTTTTAATTGGTCATCTTTCATTCGTAGGTACTAAAGCTACTCAACTATAGAACGACAGGACTGGCAATAGAAGCTAAAGTGAAGAAGATTGAACATTGAATAGTGATCAACTTCATTATTATTTCGACAACCGAAATAAAGTATAAGTAATATTTGTAACATTTTATTGCAATCTAGGACGCCACCCTCCTGCATACATTATATAATTTCCTTATAGCTATATCATATATATATATATTTGTTTTATTCCCGCATCAATGTAGTTACCAATAGGTAGATAGTTAATAGGTACATACAAATATCTTTATATATCTGTAGTTGTAAATTTAAACCATCTTTGGCACCAATCAAATATTAAATCGAAATTTGCGTTTATTTGCTTAGTCGTTATCTAAATCGATGACCTCGATACTCCTTGTAGAGTACGCTGTCATCGACCTGTTTCGCGGGGCGTGGCAGCGTCCCCTGAGGGGTGATACTTCACCCTGTCCAAGCTATAAGGCAATATGGCTGCCAATTACCGTTTAACGTTTCTGGTTACCGCCTGTCAATTATCAGACAAATTAAAATAAATAAATCATATTGACATAATTTCAGAACCGTATTAAATCAAAGAAATATTTCGTCAGTATGAATACATAGTCGAAAAATATATTCTCTGAACGTATTTTACTAGGAAATATATGCCCATCCAAAAATAGTTTATCGGAAACATAGTTTCTCAAAAAATGTATTAGATAAAAATATTTTATACGAACCAGTGGTGGATCAAGAAAATGTTACAAGGCGTGATCTACACAGTACACAGTTATCATTATTTTAGTGTGTGATCAACAATATTTATTTTCCATTAAAAAAATATACCTTATGTTTGCCTTTATACTTACTTTCTGGTTTATCTGCTTAACATTTTGAATGTCAAAAATATTAATTGTATTTTATAGGATGGCAGGATAGTTGCGGACTTTCAACATTTTCCTGGAACGGGTCCTGAAAAATCTTATGTATTTAAAAAATATCTAGAGAAATATGCCTCTATTTTAGATAGGGATAGGAATATAGATAAATGATATTTTACACAATCAGTTCGGCTGAGATCTTCTTGTGTCATTGTGTTTATCTAATTATGTGATTTATTGAATGTGTTGGTGACCGAATTTTATTTAATTATCGATAACGAAAGAACAACCATTGCAAGAATCACCATATATATATTATATAATGATTTATGAAATATACTAATTATTTTGTGTAGGTCACGAATAATAACTCGGCAAGTCATTATTAATCTTCAGGTCACACATTGTAATAATTCCGTTTATTTTAATTTACTTTTTAATTTATTATTTTATTTATCAATTATGTATATGTAAAATAGGGATATTTTAGGTATATTTGGCATGAATATCTAATTGCTCTTTTATTTTTTTTTTTTATCCAACAGTTACCTCGGTGTTACGGAAAAGTAAACTATTGTTATTATTATTATTTACACTATTAAAATTTCATAATAGAACACTTTTACCTACCAAGCATCCACACGTCAATATACATAACGAATATTTAATTTAGACGGACTTGTAATATTTTCTGTAGTGTTTATTTATTTGGACTTATGTTTTTTTTCATTGAAATATTAGTTTGTATTTTCTGCATAGAAATTCAGTGTTATGATTTAAATTATTTCATGTGACTCGAATCATCTTTCTTCTGAACGGGCATTTTACAAACTATAAGGTTTTTAATATTGAATATTTCCAATATTAATATTTTAAATTCTAAGTGAAACGAGGAATGCATTGGTATGATGATATTTCTTTTTTTCTTTTTCTGCAATCAACTCCTTTTACCAGAAATTTTGCTCAGATTTTCAAGTGTGGCACTATTTTGGTTTTTCCAGGGGTTTTCATAATAAATAGGAAAAACGTATGTATTGTTTTTTTTAAATCGTAAATATTACGGTCTTTTAGAATATGTGTAACCGAACTCTGCTCAGAATTATTTTTCGTTAGCAATGGTTAATCAACTGCGTGCAGATATACGAATACCTTTATTTACATACCGTAAATAAAGTAATGAGATTGGTTTTTATTAATTTTTTTTATTGAACTAAAATGACTCTTTTACATTATCTCCTTCAAAGTAATTGCCCTGGGAATCCCCACAACGCTGGAGTTGATGTTTCCATTGTCTGTAGAAGTTCTGAAACTCAATTACTGGAATAGCTTTCAGTCACAGACATTTTAATATTTTCTAGTGTCCCAAAATTTCATTCTTGGTGAATTTTTATTCTTAGAAAGAAAAAAACTCGTCACCAGTAATAACATGTTCTAAGAAAGAATGGTAATTTTCAATCCGCTCTAAAAAAACGAGACACCTATCCCTCCTGTCGTCCTTCCGGTCTTGTGACCAAATTTTCGGAAACATTTTTGCGCACATTTTTCTCATCTCCAAATCAATGGTCAAAATTGGATGAACGGTGGTGTGAGTTAATCCCAACTATTCTCCAATTATTCTGACCGTCAAACGACGATCGGATCGGACAAGATCCCGAATTCTGTTGATATTTTCATCATTTTTTGCAGTTGACGGTCTTCCAGTGCGAGGTCCATCTTCAATCAACTCTGTCTTCTAAAAATGCCTCAAACTGCCTAAAATCCTGGGCCCTTGAAAGCACACTTTTTCCATATGCTTGTTAACGTGTTTGAAAAGTTTCTGTCGCACTGTGCCCGAATTTGAAACAAAATTGGATAGCACATCATGCTCGAAATTGTTGTCACTCACTATTAGAACGCACTAAAAAAAACCGGTTTACGAAAATAATCGCCACAAACAAACACGTGGCACTACGGAGTTCAAACTCATACTGAAGGCACATACCATGTTAATTTACGAAACTTTTCAATTGCAAAGCCATTAGGCTAGGTTCATATGGACGCGCGTATAGCCGTTCAGATGGCTGCATATCACGCGCATTGTACGGAAATGTTCTAGTCAAAAACTATTTACTTAGTTCAGACTGTTCAGACTGTTAGTTCAAACTGTCATCGAGAATGGATGTGATAGATTCTATGTGTTTGTGGGCCGTCCACCAAAAGATGAGAAGACGCAGACAAATAAGGGAAAGAAAATATTGGGTTCATCCTATTTTAAATACAAGGCTTTCTCATAGTCTTTATGTCACGTTATATCCTAAAATTCGATCGTTCGCATCGAAACGTGCGTATCACCTGAACGGTCCAATTCAATTTCAATCCACGGTGTCACGCGCGTGTATGCGCGTCCATGTGAATCTAGCCTTTGTGCTGCCAGATAACAAGCTACGTTATTAGTCACATTATTTCAATTACACACCACGTACATTAAATTAACCCCTAAACTTTCTTTAATTTTCATTTTGTTTTTTAATAATTTAAATATTAAAATTGTATTTTTAGTTTTTGTTCTAAAAGATGGATCGTTTATTGGAGCGTTGTCGACAATATTTCTCCACTGAAGATCTGTATAAGGTGTTAAAAACACATCCGAAAAGTACAGCCAAAGAAGGTATTAGTATCGTGTGATTTCATTATTACAGTTGTATTAGACATTGCAAATTATTTAACTATTACTCATGTTTCGTTTAGTTCGCAAAGCGTATATTGAGTTGTCATTGAAATATCATCCAGACAAAGTCTCAGAAAATGAAAAAAAGTTTGCCACGGAAAAATTTAAAGTAATCAATCAAGTGTACTCCATTATTAATGACGAGGAGAAAAGGAAAAGTTATGATGCCGCTGGTAAGCTTTGTATTAAACAAATTTTTATACTAATAGGTAATTCCAAACATGTATAATTTTTTAACTATAAAGTTATACGATAGAAACTGTAAATAGAAAATGTAATTTGTTAGTTAACTAATGGCTGTTAATGAAAAATGTAATAATTATATAATCATATAGTATGAAAATACTTATACATTATAAATGCTAACTCGATTATCAAACTGAATGCAAATCACAAAAAAATATATATATTTTGAAATACTGTAGTTTTAGTCAGTTATAATCAATAGTGACATACCTATAACCACAGTTTAATGTCCACATTTTTGGTAAACATAGTAACTTGTCAATAATTTGAAATGTTCCAATTTACTCATTAAATTTAAATTTTAACGTTTTTATGGGATAAAGAGTAGTATTTTATGATGTGGATACTTTTGTGTTATTTAGGTATTTTACAAATACTCATATAATATGCAATATAATGTAATTTTTTATTTTTTATTACACTTCAAATACAAATTATATTAAATATGCTTAAAATAAAATGTTTTTATCAGATATCTATTAATATTATAGAATTTCAGGTTTTTTATTTTATAATGAATTCTTTAGTTTCTAAATCAATTTTATTTATTATTGGATTTTCTATATTGATAAAAAGTAGAAATGAGATAAAATATACAAATTTTATTTGATGCAAATTCAAAAAATCATCCTTGACATCCTTGAGGATATTTTAAAATACTTTAAAAATTATGTTACTTAATAAAATTAACCAAAATACAAGATCCAATGATTGTGATACATTTTATTCAATTGTCGCTTATCCTCCAGTCTCCATAATTTTTGTTATTCCAAACGAAATATGTTATAATATATATTTTTTTTATTTAATTGTGAATTTAATGCACTTGCATTTTTTTTTATTTTATTGTAAAAGAAAATGGAATGATTATAATGTGTTATGTGTGATCTGTAATTAAAATATGGAATCATATTTTGCATTTTTTTTTCTTTTTTGGCATTTAATAGATTAGACCATATTGTGTATAAATGCACGTATCACAATTTCTGCATATTAATGAAATTGTCTTAATATTTTTATTTATATGGTCACTCCTGTCTAAATTGATATTAAATGTTTCTGTTTAAAATATAATGTTTAAAGTTTACAATTTTTGATTAGCTTTTGATAAGTGCCCTGCTTTGGTTGTCGCCCATATTACGAACAGAGAGTTTTTAATAATATAATACAAAATAAAATAATTATAATATAACATACTATATGAATGACTGACATTTAGACATTGTGTTTACCATTATCATTCAGTTAATGTATACAATTATACATTTAACTTATAATAATTTACAACAGCAGTTTCAAAATTGTTTGTGATTTATTTTGTAAATATTATTCCAACAGTTGCCAGCGGCCAGCTAAGAAAACAATCTTCCAGCTGGCAGTCAAGAGCACGACCTACCTTCCAATCAGCAAATACATCCAGAGTACCATTCAATAACCTTCATTTAGCCTTCTCTCAGTTTTTAGAAAACCAGAAAGCAGAAACAAGCAATATGGATGAGACACTGGACAATGGTAATGTCTTGCACAGGTTTAAGGATAATCGGGCCAAAATATATTTTTATCCAAGATGTAATATTCCAAAATATTCTGAAGATTAATAAAACATTAAGCATAACTCTTAAAAAAAAAAAAAAAAAAAAACTTATCAAAAGTATTAGTAGAATAAATAAAATAAATAAATAATAAGTAGAATTAAAACTAGTAATTAAATTATTGATTTCCATTTCAAACATGATTTAAATCACCTATTCTAAATTTTGAAATTGATACTATTATATATTAATCACGTGTAGTCTTGTGATTAGATAATTGAACTAAACTAAAACACATTAGTTACCAAATATTATTTATAATTATTGTTAAATAAATAGATATAAAATGTATGCACCACAAATTGTAGATAATGTGAATTAATTGCATTTACACATTGATCAGTATTGATTACAATTGATGTTAGATAATAAACTCGTTTAGGAAATCATGAGAGTTAATAAAATATATAATGGAATAGGTTGTAGGTAACTTTGGAGATGCAGCTGCCCACGCTACATCTTCTATAGACACATTTATGCCCGAAATATCTATCATTTATTTATTTTTTTTTAGGTTAATAAGGGACCAGACTAATATTTAACTGATCTAAGTCCACCAAACAATTCACCTTATGTCATAATAACCAGTATAAACGTTTTTTTATGCGCTTATGAAACTGACATCTAGATTCTAGAAGACCCTACCTATTAAAACCATTTATCGTCGTACATGCTCAGAAATTACAAGACGCATGGATAAAATATAATTTTTGATTAGCTTTTGATAAGTATCCTGCTTTGATTGTTGTCCATATTACAAACAGAGTTTTTAATAATATAATACAAAATAAAATAATTATAATATAATATACTATATGAATGACTGACATTTAGACATTTTGTGTCCTATGATCATTCAGTTTGCATATAAAATTATATATTTAACTTGTAATAATTTACAACAGTAGTTTTAAAAATGTTAGTCATTAATTTTGTAAATATTCTTCCAACAGCTGATGATACAGATGATATAACCATAGAGGCATTAATTGAGAGACGATTAAGGAAGAAAGAAAAATTTGCAAGCTTTCTCGCGAGTCTGTCTAAAAATTTAGAGAATCCGGATGCTGACCCTGAAATGTATTGAAGATGTAATATTCCAAAATATTGTGAAGATTAATAAACCACAAACATAACTTTTAAAAAAACCCACTAAATAGAAGTAGTAGAATAAATAAAATAAATAAATAATAAGTAGAATAAAAATTAGTAAATAGAAGTATCTTAAATGCATAAATATGTGTTTCTTAATTAAGTTTAATAATAAGAATATTATATAGTAGCATTGAGTATAGCATATTCTATAATCAATGGTAGTGGGTACATTGATTATGTAGATAATTATGTTTAGTACACAGTCATTATTATATAGTTATACTTAAAAGTGAAATATGAACACGTTTTAGTATTTTACATATCTTTAAAATTGAATAATTATTATTTTTTATTTGTTAACACTTATTACGTAAATTTTCTTAGAAATTGTAATAATATTCTTTATATGTCCTCTAAAGTTTAATATCTATTTACTATTAATATAAATAATAAATATAGAGAAAATGTTGAAAATAATTACTTATCTAACTATAAAAATAATAACAATTTTACTTTGACTTATTTTTTTGATTTTGTAATGATTTATTTGCCAATCCAATATGGCCAGAAAACATTGACTAGCCTGTTATCCGTATTATAATTTGGCCCTTCAAGTAAAAATGTATACTTATGTACCTATGTACCTATGTATGTGTAGGTACCTACCTAATCTTATAATATAATGAGTTGTAAACCCTAAATACTGAATATATTATTATTATTATTATTATTATTATTATTACACCCATTCAATGTAAATGTAAATAGTTTTTATTATAACACTAGGTAGCTGGAAAATAATTGTGACAAAATAACTACACCTCGATTGACATATTCATTATACATGTATTATTTATATTATATAGTCATTATCTGTTTATAACATTGTTATAAACAACATGTAAAAAGTTGACCTTAATATCATGTATCATGTATTATGTATATGTAAGGTTATTCGAGATCAAAGGTCATGAAAATAGACTTTTAAAATATCTCGCTTTTTATTGGTCGTACAATAAAAAGTTTTACAAGTTTTAGATACAAATTATAGAGAAGGTAATTGTCTACATATAAAAGGTCTTACTACATTTTCATGTAAAAGTTATATTTTTTGCGTTATAAGGCCTACAAAGTGAACATTTTTAAAGATATATGATTTTTTTCACTAAAAACAAGTTACCAAACAATACTGGTTCCAGTTTCTTTGGAAATAATGTTTACATTATATTTCTTATAGGTATTATCTAACATAAGTATTTAATTGAAGATATGACTATTCAGAACTTAGTTTTAATTGTGTATGAAGAAACTTCCAATGGTTTATGGGAATTTAAGAAGTCCAGAAGTTTATTTGAATTGGATTCTCAAAATAACAATATGAGAACATACACCTGATCACTTTGGTTTTACCTATGATAATATGTGAATACCTTACAAATTTATATTCACAGATGGCTAATGAGTTTTTATTGCTGTAAATTTTCAATATTTTTTATAGCAATAATTTCAATGAAAATGTCTATGAAAAAACTGATTGGTACTGAAAAACAGTAAGGTGCTTAAGGGAATCAGCCCTAAAATTTACAGTTGTCTGTTGATTATGTTTCAACTTCGTTTTGTAATTTATTAACTTTAGTCTATTATTATAATTTTACCTGCTTAGAATAATAATTTGACAAACATAAGATGTCCATATGTGAATATTTAATTATACTGCAAGTAGCTACATATTAGTAACAGGTAACAATAATAATATTTTAGTATTAATTTGAATACTTTTGCAATTATAATAGGCACTTTTTTGTCTTCAGATATTTGACATTAATGAGTACCAAAAATGTCTGTTTTTCAATAAGGTTCTTCTTTCTGCTCAGCTTGTTGGTCTATTGAGAACCATTGTCACCATCATGAAACATCTCCTTCTCAATTTGTTCTCTTCTAATAACTTAATCATATGGAGTTGTTTTGTATATCATATTTATGAACACACGGGTAATTACTTAAATAGCTTATATTTTAATTTTATTGTTAATTGTTAATTTGGCTACACAAATAAATAATTTATATTATAAATATAATTTGAAATTCAATGTTTTATTTTTCTTGTTTGTGAGTTATTATTTAAAGAACTAAATAACATGATTGGATTTAATTCTAGTCTATTTAAAAAAAAAAATATAATAATATTTTCCTGAGGGACTGGATGTTTGTATACTATAATCACTTTCACTAATAATAACACTATATTATGATTTAATATTATATTATTATTTAACATTTTTTAATATCATGTACAAAATATTATTTTGAATATTTGTATACATAAATACTATGATAATATACAGGTTGATTAAAAATTATTTGTGTGTAAATATATGGTACTGGGTGATCTATTTAAGTGGATACACTCATTATCTCTGAAAGTATTAAATTTTTCAGATTTTGTTGAAACTAATTGTTTACTTAACAAATTAGTCTAAAATATTTGTTAAAATTATAATTATTTTATTATTATTATAAAATGTTAGTTTTAATTTTATTTGAAAATAATGAGCAAATTAATAATATTATATATATAAAGGCATTTTCATGACAATTTATGGTAAAGGTACTTATAATAAATAATATTTACAATTTGTATAATGTATTATTTTATTCTAAACAATAATTTATAAGTTATTTAATTATTTCAGATGGAACCTAACCAAATAATAAAAGGACTTTACTTATCCATATTGACCATATTGTTATCATTAAACCAAAATTCACTATCGATCTACAGAAATACATTACAACCAATGCACTGCAACAGCAGATACACTATTATGCTATTGTAATATGTATTGAATAAGATGAATTTGTCCTATTATACTAAATAATTACAATAGGACAAATTCAACAAATTTTAAGGTTATTAATTTAATTTTAAATTTATTTAAACTTAAAAATAACTAATAATTTAATTATGAATTTAAGTTTAGTTAAGTTCTGCTCCTTATAAACTGAACTCAGTCTATCAAAATTTAAAACTTATCTTCCTATGCCTTCTTCCTTGCCACAGATATTCCTAAAAATTATTTTCTCTCTCCTCTTTCCTCTTTTTGTAAACTCTGACTCTTCCCTACTCAGTCAAGCCAAGTTACACATTTCTTTTCTTTCTGATTGTCTTTTATTAAAATTAGATTTAAAACGATTGGTTTCTTAGGGTGAATGCCTTGGCCTTGGTTTAAATTCTTCTAAATGCTCAGTTATGTCTTTTTTTCGTCTTCATATTACATTAAAATTTATCTACCATACAAATAACCTACCACTAACATTTTCCAGCGCTTCCCTTTGTGATCTTGGTTTACTTTAATATACATATTCTTTGTCCTTTAAAACATATTGAAATCTCTTGCTGCAAAGCCCTCAAACTTTTGGGGTTCATAAGCCAAACCTCTCATTTCCATTTTCTTTCCCGCTCAAATCCCTTTTCTGTTCTTTTGTTCTCCCTATCTTGGAATATGGTTCCATACTTTAGAAACGTGTTCAATGTAAATTTCTCTATTTAATTGCTTTCTGCTTTAATATCCTCCACCCACCTTGCTTGATCATAGGCACTTATTTAACATTATCTTTCTCTGATCTGATCTCTGGTAAAATAGATTTTCCTTCTCTGTTATCTCTTAAAATTTCACTTTTTCTTACACGCTCTTCTTTAATTTCGCTGTCTTCTAATTACTCTCTTAACTCTTCTCTTTCTCACCTTATGCATACTGCTGACACTTTATTTAACCTCTAATGTTTTACTTGTTTTCTTAAATTGCTATTATTTTATTTGTATTTTTGGGCTTGTCCTGTACTATTAATAAATAAAATAAAATAAAATAAAATAAGTTATATTATTGTTTTATTTTTATTGTGAACAACAAACTATTATTTATATTTATGGTTTTTTTTTTTTTAACCAAATTTTAAACAATTTGTGAATTTAAGGTATTGAATAATAACTCAAATGTAAGAATTTATGCTCTTTAAAGTTCTAATTTCAAATATTTAAAGACTTATTATTCACTACTTTGAATTTTTTAATTTCAAATTGTTAATAATTAGTAATAATATACAGTTATTGATTTAAAATTTGATGTTTTGTGGTCAATTTTTTTAAAATATGGAGTCAGGAAATATATTTAATACTAGATTGACATGAAAAATCATTTAGATGAAAAAATGTAGATATTTTTGATTTTTGTTAAAATATATGCATATATTGTTAGAACAGATTATTTAACTTAATTTTCAATTTTTAAATGCCCATTGTTAATATTATGTGTTCAGAAATACTTTATGGTCACAAGATTCTTAAGCATGATAATTTAACCACCATCCAATTTCAAGTACATACAATTCGATTTGAAGATATTAAACATTATTGTAACTTTTAAAATTTGTAGAAACTGAGAAATGTTTTTCTTTTTCCTTTATTCTTTGAAAAAATTTGATATATTTTCTTTATTAGTTTAAAATGTGTAAAAATGAGAAATAAAATATGTACTTTTACTCTAAAATTAAGGAAATATGCAAAATATGCATATCAAATGTTCGATTTTTAAACTTGTCATTGTGTAGTAAGAATTTCTAGCTGGTCTGCTATATATCCAGTGCATATAGACAAATATGAAACTCCTATAATTTCCAAGCTCTATTAATCACTATTAATTGCCATTAAAATTATAATAATAATATATTTTATTGTAACTAAACATATATACAATGAGCATATTATTTTAAATAAAAGTTACTAAATCCCTGTAAGCTTGTTGTGGGGTAAGAGTTCAATAATTTTTTTAAGATTTTAGGATGTAAATTCTACATAAAAAATTAAATAATTATAATCAATAACCTAAATCAGAAAAAAAATGTACAATTTAGATTAACAGATATAGATAATATATATAGCAATATAGATATCATACAAAATTAAGAACTGTATCAAAAAAAATATAAGTTAAG